CTTTAAAAATTGGAGTAGTCTTTCAAGAAAAGAAACAACGTTGTATGTGTGCGCGTGTATGTATATGTATATATTCTGGCAGACATCTCAAAACAAGCCAATCATTTAAGTAACTATTAAAAATTTGTCAAAAATCGTTTTCTATCTTTTATTTTTTTCTATTTTTATATAGCAAAATGTGCTAAAAATGTATTAAACTTAAAACAGCATTATACTCATGTCAAAAGTTTTATAGCTAGGGGATGTTTCTTTAAGTAACTCATTTACAAAGTAATTTTCATTTACAGAAAACATTTTATAATTTTAAAATGCTAAAATATATCAAATTTAAAAATATTAGAGGTGTTGTTTTGTTTGCTTTGAATTGTATGTGAAGGTTACTTTAATTTGATTTATGTATGTATGTATGTGAAGGTTATTGTGTCTTTTGTATCTATATGAAGGTTAATGTATCTTTGTGTATATATTGTGAAGGTTATTATATATTCTGTATCTATGTGAAGGTTAATATATCTTTGTGTATGTATTGTGAAGGCTATATCTTTGTATGAATCTGATTTTACTGTATATTTATGTGTGCATGTATAGATTACTATATCTTTATATATCTGTGTGAAGGTTACTATCTTCATGCACATTTATGAAGCTACTGTATATTTGTGTACATATTGTTAAGGTTACTTAAGCTTGTATGTATGTGAAGGTTACACTATCTTGTATGTACTTGATGTTACGGTGTCTTGTATGTATGTATGTGAAATTACTGTTGCACAGACAACTTGAAGTTTTACTCAAAATCACATTAAAAAGTTATTTTCCATTATTATGGTTTTAAATTGCCTTTAAAAGCACTCTTTGCACTTTATCAACATGGACGTAAAGAAAACCATGGATATCGGTATTGGGACCAGAATTTTCTGCATCGTCAACCGTCATTCGTCTTCGTCACATCAAGGTAACAAGGCACTGTCTGTTTATAGTAAAGAGAATCAAGAAGTGGGAATTTATAATGCAGTCAACAAAGGCAAGATGTTGACTTGACAGGGTCAACTTAAGTGAATAGCACTTTTTCTTGTGTGTTTATTGGAGAATTTATTTTTTCATGGGGTATCTATTAATGTTTTCTTCCTGTTTCAGAAACATGCAACCCTCCCACGGAGCTGGAATACAAACAGATCTACTCAAACTGGTGTCGAGAGTTTGAGAAATACAAATCAGCCATGAACACCTGGCAACATAAGCAAAATGTATGTATTTAACCATGTTTGTAACTTTCCAAATTATACTTGTGGCTTATAATTCTAGCTAGTTATGGTAATTTCTGTTTTTTGTATCCTGGAACCTCAATGCCAAGTGAGTGCTTTATCAACTGACAGAAAGGGTTAACCAACCAACACTTGCTATTGAGGTACTTTTTTGTTTTTTCAACAAACTCAAACTACGACACCGTGTAGTTTCACAGTCTAGCTCTCCTCCGGAATCTTTTGCTTGCATCTGTAAGTAGCACTCTTTTTTGCAGTACAAGCAACTGAAACTAAAACTTACTAACATATTTTTATCTTTTGTGAATACTGAAAGGTATCATGGGTATTATGTGATCTTACATTCTTCTTCAAAAAAATGTGATATATCCTTATAATATGTGTATTCATTTCATCTAGACACCACTATAAATATAACACAACAGCATTTTTATACGTTTTTCACCTTCCTTCTCACTGTTAAAACAAATATGACACCCATCAGTCCACTTGTAAGACAGAATTACACCTTATATAATATATGCAATACTTGTTTGTCAGAATGAATCTTCTATGCCCCCAGTGGCTCAGCAGCAAGTCTGAAGGCTTATACCGCTAAAAAACCAGGTTTAGATAATCGTGGTGGGAGCATAGATGGCCCATTGTGTAGCTTTGTGCTTAACAGCAAACGAACAAAAAAAAAACATCTTCCACCTATTCTCTTTTCAAAAGACATGTAACTTCCACATTTTATGTACTTCTTTATAAAACTTGATAGACAAACTTTATCTGTTAAAAAAATTTGACGTTTACTTTATTACCTTCTCTTTCCAACCAAGTTACTAAACATGTAAAATAAAGGTGTTTTGGACTAGATGATACTAGAAAATAAATACAGTTGCACATGTTCAACTTAAATATTTAGTCATCTTGAAAATAAGAAACAGAAATATATTTGTGATAGATGGCCATTTTTTGAGCTTGTTACTAAATTCTGGAAAAAAAAAAAGGCTTTATATCAAACAAGCTGAGGTACCTGTCCTTTGTCCAGGTTATCAACTTAAAAAAATGTGTGGGTGGATGTTATGATAAATAATGCAAAAATCCTAATTTTCACACAATGTATCTATAACATAGCATGTTATTACAGTTTTCATTATTACCTCACCAAAGTTTTGTATAAGCTTTAAGAACTCTATGTTTATATACTAAAAACATGGTATACACTTTGTGATAGTCAAGGTGATTTTGCATGAAGAGGTAGTGGCGGTATGGGTGCTTTCTGTTACCGTCTTTCAAAACCAACCTCTTAATATCTTTCCACACTGTTTCACATTAATAATTATTTGATGGTCATTGGCTGCGGAGTGTCTTATGAAGACTTACTGCTGTCCCACCAGGGGGAAGAAGATTTAATAGTTTTTTGTTTTGTGTAAGAATATGGAACTGTATATGAAGGTAGTTATTGTTATTTACGTCAGAGATAACAAATGCTTAATAACAGCAATATTAGGGGGTAGAAGGGTTCTGAACCCCCATTAACATGCCCATTGTTCCAAACTATCATCTCACAAAGTTTAATTGAGATTGGCCCAGCATCCTAGAAGTAGTTAGATAAGGGACAAACAGACAGACACACAGATTTTTGTGATTTAATAGTTTTTGTTTTTAGTGTAACAATGTGGCGCCATCTATGAATGTAGTTAACGTTAACTTACATCAAAGATAATAAATGCTCAATAACAGCAAAAATGGAGGTGGAGGGGTTTTGAACCCCCATTAACATGCCCCTTGTTTTAGACTATCATCTCACAAAGTTTGGTTGAGATTGACCCAGTGACCTACGAGAAGTTAGATAAGGAACAGACAAACACACAGCTTTTTGTGCTTTATACATATATAGGTCCAAATTAATTACTCATTTTAAACATAATAATAATAACATAATAACATAATAAAAAACATAATAGATGACAGAAGGAAATGAAAAAGGTTAGTAAGTCTACTGTATTACTTATTGTAGATATATGACATTATTTTGTTAAGTGTATAGATTTAGTTGCTCCTCAGTTGGTCAATGTTAATACAAAGAATTAGACTTTTATGAAAGAACACTATTAAGTAGAACATATTTTGGATGTTTCTTTGTCTTTGTTAACATAGTTGCTAAAATTTTTTATTTTCCAGAAATGTCAAGCTCATTTAAATGATGTGATCTACAGCAGAGCGCCATCTGTCTGAACCTGTGTTTTCTCAACCACCCCTCACCCCCGTTCGTGTCAGACTGTAATGATAATTCTGTATTGTTCTGATGCTAGATTTTTGACTTGGCATTTATTAATAATGTGTGTGGTTACCAAACGGAGAAATGAAAACTGCTCCTCAGACATTGTAATTTAAAGAGAAAAAACGGTTTTCACGCATCCTAGACAGCTGTGAAAACTATGGAACCATGTTGCTTAGAAGATGTGCTTTTTTTTTATTGCGAGGGTTGGGTAATAGTTAAGTTTTTGTGAATTTTTCAAACAGTTGGCAAATAAACAACAATTCGAGAAGTTGGAGATTGACCAATGTTGTATGTGGTGCACTACTCAAGTGACTTCCAGTGTGAGGACTAATGCATGTAATTTACTTGTGTAATGTAAGTTAATAACAGTTTCAACTTTTGTGGAATGTTGGATGATGGCGATCTTCATTTGTGTCTTCAGAATTTCAGCTTTTTTTTGGATATCTTCTATATCTTGTCTTGAAAAAAAAAAGAAAAGACCCATCTTATATAAGCCTCATCTTTGATGCTACGCTTTTTCTACCTCTTATCTGGTAAAGTGAACCATGTGTTATCAGTTTGACATGTGTATACTAATTACCAGGAGCATACCATGGTGAAGTATGATAATACAAATGAACAAACGTATCTTCTTTTCATTTTTTATGTGGAATCGTACACTCAGATTTGTTTTGCTAAATTACAACTTTGTTTCTAAATGTGATTCTTCTGCAGTTGTTTTTAAATATATATAATTATAGCATTTAAATTTCTAATTACATGGTAAAGAAGTTTGATATGTCTTTTTTTTCTTTGTCATTACTTTGGAAAGCAGTTCAAAGATGGTAATTGGTTGGCAAAAAGTATTTTTGCTATTTATAAATATTTTCATTTCCTCTCTAAAAGGTGTGTATGCAACTCTTCATCATAAAAACTATAGCAGAAATACATAATGAAGAAACTTTAAAATATATAGAGAGAGAATTTTTTTTGTACCTACCTCTTGCAAATAAAACCAGAATATTCCAAAATGTAGAAAAAAAATATTTATTTGTCACCACCAATATCTTCAAAGCAATGTGTTAAATTTTACAGTTTAAAACACTAAGTAAGTTTATGCAAAGTTTATGACAATACTGTACTTATTCCTGCAAAAAGTTAGCAGTATTTTTCTTATTGAATGGTTTTTTCATGCAACATGTTTACTGGTAAAAATCTCTATGTTATTGTGAAGAAAAAAGTAAATGAAGATTTGTTTCCTTGTTGCTTAATTAACTGTTACAGAAGTGTATTGGTTGTGAAGAATTACAACATTGTTTGTCATTAAAAAACATTTTTTGCTCAAAAATAGAAAATGTGTAGAAAGCAATATTATGTATAAAGACAAAATATTGTTTTTCTTGAGTCACTTGGAAAAATTTCTGTCGAAGCGACAGGGATGTAAAAGTATTTAGAACTCTATAAAGCAGTTAAAAAGTTTGTATTTCAAAGTACTGCTGATAGTTTTGTGTGTAAAGCTGCTCACAGATTTTTTTGTTAGGTGTATGAAGTGTAAAACTGAATTGTTTTTACCATGTGATGGGCATCATTGGTTCTTGAATTGAACCAGTGTAAACCTGGTTAAAAACCTGACTTTAAAAACAAGTTGTGTTGAAGTGTAAGAAGGTTGGTGATGCTAATATCATAGTATACACAGTTTTTTTAATAAATATGAACATTATTAAGAATTTGGGAAACTTTTCAGCTTATACAGGTGTGTGTATGTGTGAGTTGTGTAACGTTTTATGTTTAAGTTTTTGTGAGATAAACAGTAAAATAATTTCCTAGCCACTGTTGTATAACAGTTTTGGTGTTGTTTTTTTTTTGAATGATGTATTATTAATACCAGTCTACTCATTTTCTGTGTTTAGTATGATGCTGTTAATAATGGAATCATAAACTCTACACTTTATATTGTGTTGCAAAACACAAATCTCCAGAAATTACAGGATCCCACTTCACAGATGGGGAGTAGATTTTGGAAGACAACGTTTTAAAAATTATTGAGTATACTATTTGGGATGGGGCTGAAGAGAAGTACTTAAATTAATGTCAATTATCGATATTTAGGTTTAAAGAATCCAAAACAAACTGGAACTCAGATCCAGGAAGATCCAGCATAAATTAAGAACAGGCTATGTAATGATTTTCCTAAGTTGTAGTAATAACATAATGTTTTGTTTATTTGTTTTTGTACAAAATTCATCCTAAACCACTAAATTATCGCATCTGTTAGTTAGGCTTAGGGTAGTATAGTTACAAATATAATATTTCTTGTGTATCATATATTCGTGCGAATTTCAATTTCTCTGGTTCCATAATTATTTCCAGTATTGACCACTGGGATTTAAATTGGAATGGGACTGTTCGGGAGTAATGTATTGACTACTTGAGTCAAATGTCAATTGGCGATGCAACCAAGGCAGTCTTACAATAATAATATTTTCTCCTTTAGACAAAAACAACAAAACCACGTTTCATGATATTCTATCCAGCAGAAACCAAACGCTGTATAAATGTAACATAGCACATTCTTGAACGTTTTATGTTAGTGCCAAACAATATTGCCTCTATTTGTTTATACTATCTAGTGAACTATTACCAGTTCAGATTATCATCTTATATTCTGACCTACTGTGCTCACTGTGTGACTTATTGAAAGTTTAGGTTTAAGAAACGTATGAGCTTCGTGTAAGGAATAAAAACTTCTGTCTATTAACGCTCATTTCCGAAGTCGGTGATCTGTGTTTGTTCAGAGAAACCACCAAATAGTGGATCACATCAACTGAAAAATAATGTAATCTGCTTAAACACAGTAGTCTGAGACTAAGCCTAATTGAGTGTGAAAAGGAAAGTAAAGGAGACCTATTTTCCAGGATTAGGGGTTTCTTCCCTGGAACGTTGGAATGGATGATGTTACGATTTCTATGATGAACTAATATATATGTATTTTCTATTTTATGTTGTGTTTCTATTGAGTAAGGGTTACAAACCATTATTGCAAGCCTAACCATAGAGCTAGATATTTTGACGACTACTTCATACACGTTTAAGTTCGTAACTTCAACAATAAAAGAACTGTAAAATAAATGTTTAATTTCAAAGGTTTTTAATACACCGTTTAATTATATTTTTATTTTCAATACATCTTTATGTAACGTTGGTGTTTTCCTAGTAAATTTTGTGATATTTCATGAAATGTCAAGTTCTTTAACTATTCAAGAAATGATGATCAGATGTAACTAAAAGCAATTTAATGTTATAATAAAAAAATTATGAAAATTATTTTAATATACCAAAGTTTTTATTATTTTTTTCATTACAAAAGCCTTGTGTAGCTGAAAAAATACCCATAAAATATAATCGTTTTCTTTTATTCTCATTTATATGTTTTTCTCTTCTTAAACATCTTGTAATGCCATGTAATTCACGTTGAACTGATATATAAAAAAATATATATTATTTTGTATCGAATATCATTTTATTTCCTGGTAAAATTAATGCAGTCGGGTGCTAATATATCTTTCTGCTAGCTATGTTTATAGTTTTAATAAAGATCCAAGGTTTTATCGTGTTAAAAAAAATTAGGTTAAAATATCCATAATAATATGTAAAATCTCGTGTTGAAGTTAATCATAATTGTGTACACTGGAAAGAGAGTACGCATTTACAAAACGAGCGGAAAATTTCAGAAAAACAATTTATGATTTAGCGTTAAGACCGAAAGTAATAAGTAAACTTAACAGGCACTCTTAATTATTTCCCGAGTAAGGCGTTAAGGAGATATTCGGGTAAACCAGATAAGAATGTGACAAAAATTTTTACAATGTTGTTTCATCTTAAGTCTCATTTTTTTAAATATTTTATTAGGATCATTTTAAAGTACTTGTACATGTACACGTGTATTAAAGAGTTTGGTATTAACTGAGTGACAGTTGCACTTTTTTCAGTGGCAACTTTATTGTTTTTGTTTCTAGTTTTCTTTTTTTCCATATATTTTTAACTGAAGCATTTTTCTAAAGAGACTTTTGGAAAATTCCTGCAAATGCTTAATTTGGTGAGAAAAAGAATTTTTTTTATATCATCAAAACTTTATTTTGTGTTATTTTTGTCCTAACTTTAGCATCTTGTTCGACACATTGTATTTGAATAGAACAAATAAATGGCTTCCGAAGTGTACAGCGAACATTTTGTTATTCAGTTTTTGTTAAAAGTAATTTCGTTTTATTTTTCTAGTTTTTAATATTGCCATAAATAAAACAAAAAGTACAATTGAAAATAAAGTTCAGTTTTGTGAATCAGTTTTTTATTTTATTAAATAAATACCGTCTGCTCCAAAATAAGAAAGTTATCAGTAGCAATATTGGATTTTATAATAATAGGCCTAATGTTAGAATGTATACCCAACAAAAGTGTGTTATGATAGGCCTATAGTCGCATCCCATTTAGCGAAGTTATAGGTGGTATAGATCGAGTTGCAAATGAATTTTCCCCTTTGATCCGTTTGTTCAATGATACTTCGTTGTGCGCTGGTTAAAAAATAAAAACTTTGAATATATAGATATGTATATTTTTGTGTTACATTACTTTTTTTATGTTAAAATCATCACAACTTTATTTATATTAAAGATATTAAGTATATGTTACACATTTGACTGTCGTAACTTTCTATAGTAAAATCTTTGACATGTAAAATTGATGTTTTTAAAACAAGAACAACATATTGTTACGACAGCGGAAGTCACGTGACTCTAGTAACACGTCATTAACTTCTAGAATTATCCTGAATGCTCTAGCGTTTACTAGGTTTCGGTATTCTTTTATATATATAAAACCGGCCAAGAAGCGACTAATTGACTGTTGAGTCGAGTACGTGAGACGTTCGTTGTGAATTATAGCGTTTGTTATAGCGCGACTGTGGAAATTAAGTGTATTG